GTGTGTATGTGTGTGAGTGAGTGTGTGTGTGTGTGTGTGTGTGTGTGTGTGTGTGAGAGTGAGTGAGTAAGTGTGTGTGTTTGTGTGTGTGTGTGTGAGTGAGTGTGTGTTCACCTGTTTGTTCATGGTTGGCTTGAGCAGGTGCTGTTGGTTGGTTTGCTGTGTGGGTTTTGCTGGTTGGCTGCTCGGTGTGTTTTCTGTGCTCTCACTGGCTCCGCCCTGAGGGGCGGGGCTCTCCGAGGCCGTGCTGGACTGATGCGGCAGGCCGGGGGCGGGGCTATCCTTCACCGACAGCTGTTGCCTCGGCAACTGCCTCCCCCCGAAACTGGAGTCGGGCGACTGGAGGAGGTTCCCGCTCTGGGGGCGGGTCTTGGGGGGCGTGGAGTTGACAGCCGAGCTGACAGACAGCTGGTGGGAGGGTTGAGGCTTCATGCGCTGAGGAGGAGGCGGGGCCATGGAGGCCTGTCGGACAGGATGGATGGTGGTGGGGGGCGTGGCCAGGGAAGCGGGCGTGCCGGTGCCTGTGGCTGTCTGCGGGGCGATGCCCATCAGAACCTGCTGCTGGAGATTCTCCTGATGACACAAACACACACAGAGTCTCACATCCAACAGCGTTAGTATAGCTAACGAAAAACTAAAACCATTTAAAAACATTTCCATTACTTCAAATAAAATAAACATTAACTGAAATAACTGATTTTTTTTTTATTTTAGCTAGCTACCAAGGCACTGTGATATTAACACATTTAACTCCAAACTCTCATTACTGTAATGCTAAAAAAGCTGATAAATTATTTACCTTCTGAAGCATTCGTATGAAAGTGCCTGTTTGTACTGCCTGCTTTTTAAAAAATTTTAATAAAGTAATTAACATTGATTTAATCCTTCATGAAAGGATTTATTATTATTATTGTTGTGTTTAGTCATCAAAAAAAATTATTTCACAAAGCAAATCATTTTTGGTCCTAAAATGAGTCTTTATGCAAAATATATATATTTTTTGCATTAAATAAATAATTTATTTTTTCTTAATCATTTTTTTTTTTTTTAATTACATGTAATTTCTATTTTTTATTTGATTTTGAAATTAAGCATGAGTTAGATGTTTAAGTATTTTCTAATGGATGATATTAAATGAATTATGAAACATTAGAGAAATATAGAAGCTCAATGCGTAGAAGATCTTGATTAAGTTAAAACCGAAACCAAGCCATTCACACAGAATGCATATTCAGCGCATTTTCTAGACGGACAAATAGCCATTCACACAGAATGCATATTCAGTGCATTTTCTAGACAGACAAATATGACTGCTGCACTCGCGTCTCACACAAGAGATGTAGCCATGCATGCAAAGTTAAAACAGTTTAAACTTTTAGAAAACACGTCACGAATTTGTGGTTTATTCCTTTTCACTGCGTCTCATATGTTTTTAAATGCAGTCTGCGTGAATGGTGCTTCGGCTCTTTGTATTAAGCAATGAATAAATACATGATGCTGTTTTGTTCATAACGGTTTATGCAATTTACGAAATTATATTTGATTTTTATGAGTTAATTTAGACGTAATGCTGTTTTTTTTAATAGAGTTACTTCCTTGCGTTGACTATTTAAATGCGCTGCATTATTTTGCTCATTGCGCCCTCCTGTGGCCTCGGGAGACAAGACAAAAGTTTCCTTCAGACCTATATGTGACCCTGGAGCACAAAACTAGTCATAAGGGTCAATTTTTTGGAAATTGAGATTTATGCATCATCTGAAAGCTGAATAAATAAGCTCTCCATTGATGTATGGTTTGTTAGGATAGAACAATATTTGGCTGAAAATCTGGAATCTGAGGGTGCAAAAAAATCGAAATATTGAGAAAATAATCTTTAAAGTTGTTCAAATGAAGTTCTTAGCAATGCATATTACTAATCAAAAATTAAGTTTTGATATATTTAG